GAAAAAATTAATTTTTTCTGAAAAGGTGGTGTCTATTTACTTGTGACCATGCTGTGTATATAGTACAAACATGAAAAAAATTATTTACATATATATATAAACCAAAGAACAACAAATAAATACTCAAACACATTCCTCTCTTCATGCATTTTTTTTTCATTCATGCTCCTATCCTCAAAATATTTCTTTTAATCAGTCAATGGAGGAAGTCCTATTTTTCTGTGAAATTCCATCACAAAAAAGAAACATTTTTGTTCTTAATAAACTGTTTTCTCAGATTGATTGTTCAGTACACATGAAGACTGATGAATCAAAATACAGATATTGATATGAAATTTTAGGAATTGAAAAAATGAATAAATTTCCAGTAATGTAGTCTTGAAATTAATCATTTTGATATACAGGTTACAATTAACCATTCAGGAGATACAGAGCATGAAAGACAGACATGTGGCTATTATATATATATGAAGAAGAAAGTAAGATTCATAGATTTGTCTAGAACTTTGGGAGCACTTCATTTGCTTTCTTCATTCCTGGTATAAAAATCAACATTACATATCCAAATTAAAAAGATCATTTTTAATACAATTATAATCAACAACATTCTTTAATTATGCTGGCATGGAATAAAAACAAGAGTAATCTAAATGTTAATTAATATTGCAATAAAATACAAATCATTAATTAGGAAAATAAAAAATGCCCTATTGTTACGTCTCCATTTGTTAATTGATTTTCCGTAACTTTGTTCCGACAAAACTCAAGCGACACAAGTCCTTTCTTAATAAAACTGGTTTATTCTTTCTGAATATAACTTTACCAATACACTCAACTTCAACAATCGCGCTAAACAAACGCTGTAACGTCTCTCGTGCTCTCTGACTGCAGTTCAATTACTCACTGTCTATACACACATTACATTACATTACCGCATCACGTTGTCACCCTCTTATATATACCAGACTACCCTATCTAGTAAATACTAGAGCATTCATGAAGGAACAAGATAGTTCTAGAATCTAGAGGGCGCCACACCAGTCACGAGACCTCGATGACGCAACACTGCCCCTTCCTTAGTATTGTTCGTCCCGAACAATAACCACATACAATAAACCAATAACAATAACTTAATTAACTGTACAGAATTACAAACACAAAATTACAATTCAACAAAGTCTCTTAATTTTACGGGACATATTTTCTTCCGTACTGGTCTCCGTCTCATTGGCTTCTGCTTCATGTGGGGTTCATCCGCTTCA